ATGGAGGGATAGATAGATATATAGGCAGATGGACAGATACTCTTTAACACCCACCTGGGAAAAGGGCTATTGATAAATCCTTACTGTTTCCATTGATTCTACTCCCAATTTCCCTCTCTTCTCCCTCTAATTCAACTTCTCTTTGCTCTTATGCTCCCCTCTCCTACCTTCTGTGTCCCATCCCTGCCACCCTCCTCATCTGTGACCCAGGAGAGGGTTTGGGGTAAGTGCAGGCTTAGCACTATTAGAACTTTCCAGGAAAAACAGCCCCCTCAAGTGTGTTCCAGAAACGCTAGGTCAGTGTTAATCTTCTTGGCACCTTTCCCACTCTTGTTCCATGCTCTTGGCCATCACTGGTCTTCATTCTGGAGAGCTCACCTCTACCTGTGTCCTACCCATTTTTTACTCATTTGGGGACAGCTGTAATCTGATGGATGAGTTGTAGAGGGAGGGGAGTCTTGAGAAGAGAACTGTCAGAGAAGAAAGAATTCTGAATGCTGGCTCCTGGTGAGAAGGGTCCCATGCTGGGAACTTCCACAGTCCAGGAATAAAGGAATGATACCTACATACACGCACATGCTCAGACTCATCACACGGTAGTGATGCCCGTAAGTCTCACACCTTCCCATACATTCACCTGATTCAAGGGGGAGAATCAGTCTTTTCAACAGTTCAGCTCTCACTTTCTCATCAGGACAATCGCTTCGCACACGAGGAGTTCCTGGGAAATGAAGCCCTCTGAACCCATTCAGCGGTGGAGCCTCATCATGCTCTAAGAAAGAGAACTTTCATTCAGTAAACATGTATTGAGTACCTACTGTATGCAAGGGAACCTGATAGGCAAATGGAGTGAGGGTGGGAAGTAGAAACACAAAAATGTGTTCCAGCCAGTTCCGCAAAACTCTGGGGAAAGCACCATAAAGAAAATACGTATTCACAATTGGCCAGTCAAAATCGCCACTCGGCATTCATCAAGATGAATTCTCCCACAATTTATATGGATAGAGTGTGCATTTCAGCTTCTGAGACAAACGATAACTACGAGTGCCAACCCTCCAGGACATGCGGTTATCATCAGTTAGGTCCATTCCTGAGTCATCAACAGCTAGGATAATGTTGATTCCCAAACCACTGGAAGAGACAGCAGGTTGGTAAAGACTTTACAGGGAAACAAGGACCCCCAATTTACAGCAGCAAATTGGGGTTCTCAGTGGAGATGAAATTCAGGCAAATGTTTCCAAGAATGTGGCCACAAGAGAGGCTAGACAGAGAAGCCTAAGATATACTGCCACTTTCTTTCAGGTTTATCTGAAGTTGTGATATTTTAATACAAAGCTATGTATTACCTATGCGATAAATAAAAGAACAAGCAACCTACTTTGGCCAAACAGTCGTCTAACAGCCCTCCATCCTGACACTTTGTTATAGGAGCTCAGTTTGGCTTGACTCTCCTCCCACAATATATCTATCTTGAATTGACAATGTTTTCATCTCGGTCTCTCTGGGTTTGGCGCTGGTAATGCTTATTCTTTTGTGCTTAGCTCTGTGGTCTCCTTTTGAAAGAACCTGTCCGTTTCCTCACCACTTCTAAGTCTAGGCAGTAACATACTTCAGTTTTGTTCTCTCCTTGGAGCCACCATCACTCCCTAACATATATGACGACAGTGTACATAAGAGTGCTTTATCAACAGTAAAGCAATGGACAAATGTTAATTGATGTGATTCTAAGTAGCTGCTCTAAATATCTCAAGGTGATTTCCAATCATAATTCCTGTTATCAGGTTAAATTTGAAATAAAATCGCCCTCCTTTCTTCTGTGATGACTGAGCCATCCAGGCACAATGCTATTATGACAGCTGGGAATCATCTGAAAATGAGCTTCACTTCACTTGGCATGTCAGATGGTAATTTAAAAAACTGGGTCCTGTTTTTTTAAATATTAGAGTTGATTCACATTCAAGAGGCACACCCACCCTGCTAGGAGAGGGGCTCAGATATGCAGCTGGTGGCGGGGCATTAAAGCAGGAGCACGGGGACCTGGTCACACGATAAATCCTGATGGGGGCACTGCAAGGGTGGCCAGCCAAGACGGAGGCATTTGCGATACAAGGCCAATTTTGACAGAGAACAGGAGGTGATCTTCGTAGGTGACTGACTTCAGAGGGATCCAGCCAAGGACCCCTGTGGGTGTGCTGGCAGGAGGGCAGAGCCTTCCCAGAGCGCTGGAAGGGATGGGGTGATGGCGAGCAAACACGTCAGTGATGGCAAGGTTCAACGACAGACCTGGGAACTTGTATGAGAATTCTTCGGCACAAATGTCACATTTCCTGCCTTGTTCTCCCAGGTACCTTCTACCTGCTCACAGGTCCACCCCATTCAACAGATGCTCCCAGACACATGAGATCTCAACTTAGACTCCATTTTTCATACCTACTACCTAATAAAAAACTGCTTTCCTGAAAGACATTTCTCATGAATTTCACAGCTGTTAGGTGAAGCTGCAAAAATCCACTTCTCTCCAAGTTGCCAAATTCCTGTCTTTGTAGATGCAGAATCGTACGTTGGCTATAATACCACTTTTGCCAAAAGGTGGAGAGAGGGAACAATGCATGTGTATTTGCATGTGTGTACTGAAGGATGGACAAGAAACTTACAACCTTAGTTGACTTAGGGGATGGGAACTGGAAGGCTGGGGACAGGGCTCACATGGAGACTCCACTGTACATTCTTTTTACTTCATGAACTTTGAACCATGTGAATGTACTGACAATTCAAAAATTAAATGCAAATAATTCCTGGCACTGTGAGCGTCTGTCACCTTGCTTATAATTGCTGACGATGGGAGGTCTCTGACCTCTTACCTTCAACCGTCATCGTTTTGATGGTCATGCTTTCTGAAGACCCAGCATCGTCACTGACTGCCATCAACTACATAGAACTTGTCTGGTTTTGTAAGGAAAATACTTAATAGAGAAAGACAAATACCATATGATATCACTTATGTGTGGAATCTAAAATATAAGACAAATAAACCTATCTATGAAACAGAAACAGACTCACCGACATAGAAAACAAACTTATGGTTACCAAAGGGGAAAGGGGACGGGGGAGGGATAAATTAGGAGTTTGGGATTAGCAGATACAAAATACTATATATAAACTAGACAAACAACAAGGTCCTACCGTATAGCGCAAGGAACTATATTCAATATCCTGTAATAAACCATAATGGGAAAGAATACGAAGAAGAATACGTATGTATGTATAACTGAATGACTTTACTGTATACCGGAAACTAACAAAATGTTGTAAATAACTATACTTCAATTAAAAAAAGAAAGAAAAGACTTACCTCTTTCCTTCTCTTTTTGTCCACATCTCTCCTGGGTACATGGTTTACTCTTACTTTAAACGGAGACTCTAGTGGGCAGAAACTTGTCTTCAGGGTCGTCGGGCAGACGGTTGTACATTGCCAGACGTGGGGCTAAGATTCAGGAAAAGACTCCAGCCTACGTGTAGTCTATAAAGACCAAGCTGCGGCCCAAGTCCAACCGGAGGTGGAGAAAATGAGGTGCTATGTACATGCTGTCAAGGCAGAGATTCAGATAGAGGCACCCAGCTCTCACCCCATGTCTCTGCTATTCTTCACATCATGACTCCTGGGAAGAGCTGTCTAGATACACTTTGCCCACTTTGTCATCCTCCCCTTCACTCTTCACCCCTGAAATGGCTCTTATCATGGCCATTGATAACTTCCATGTTATTTGTCCCAAGGGCTAAGTCTGTTCCCATATCATATTTGACCTCATAGCCACATTTGACGCAAATTGTTCACCCCCTCGTCCTTGAAGCAATTTCTTCTTTTGTTCTGTCGCTCGTTCCTCCTACTCTACTGGGCAAACTGCTCAGACTCTCTGGCAGACCCTTTCTACTCTCTCCAACTTTTCAATGTTAGAGTTCTCTGCTCTGGGCTCTCTTCTCTTCTCTACGTTGTCTCCCAGGGGACCTCATCCAAGCCTGTGCTTTAATTCCCACCTGCATGCTCTGTGGCTCTCCCGCCCCTACCTCCAGACTGGGCTCCCCCTGAGTTCCAGATGCACACATCTACCTGCCTGCTCTCAACTCTCCTCTGACACAAGCGGCCATCTCAACCCCAACATGCCCACAACACAACTCTTGATTTCCCCTCCCAAACCTGCCCCTCCCCTAGTCTTTTCCATCTTAGTAAGTAGCCCTTTGTCACTCAGACCAAACACCTGGGAGTTGACCTTGATTCTTCTTTTCGTCTCCTACTGACAGCCAATCTATTGGCAAGTTCTGTTTCTACTGTCTCCAAAATAGATCCTAAATCTGGTCACTTCTCAGCATCTTCACCACTAAAAACCTTGCCCTAACTCCTCAACGCTCATTTGTTCTATGGAAACAGCTTCCTAATGGATTTCCCTGTTTCCATTCTTGCCCACATACTGTTTATCAAAAGCAGCCAAAGTGAACCAGTACATGGGATAAATCCCGTCCCATCACCCCTCTGCTTCAAACCTTCAAATTGCCATTATCTCTGCAATAGTAAGTACTCTGCAGATATTTGTTAACAACTGAGTAAGAAAGAAAGAGACCCAGTTACCAGCTTGATGCACAACATAGAAATGTACAAATACTGAAGCACCAGGTGAGAACAGGACCAGCAGCAAAAGCTACCTTGGCACAGAGCCACCCACTGGAGTACGCTCCCTCACTACTCAAAGCGTGGTCCATGGCCAGCAGTACTGGCATCGCTGGGGAGTGCGTTAGAAATAAAGAATCTCAAGTCACACCCCCAGATCTATTGAATCAGATTCTGCATCTTAACAAGCTCTCCAGGAGACTCATATGCACACTAAAGTTTGAGGAGTAGCACCCAGAGACCACCCGCATCTCCATTTCCTGCCCTAGCCCAGCACCGACTTCTCTAACTGACCATCAGGGCCAAGGAGGTCAACACATCTGCTCCTCCAGCAGGAGGCAATTCCAACTGCCCACAGGTTTTGCCAAATTGCAAAACCTAAAATTGCCAGTCTCCACGCACATGCAAACCTAGTGTGTCCGATGCTAAAGCTCGTGGTGTTTAACGTCTCCATTTTTGAAAGAACATGGCCCTGGAGTTTTTGTTTTGATAAACACATTCTTTCATTCTAATTTCTAGGTATTTCCTAATACCTGGGAAACAGTGCCAGTCGCCTCTGGTGCTCCTGAGGTAGAACTGCTTTTGTTGTGTCCCCCAAATGATCTCTCTTCTAGTGAGTTACAGATAAATGGGATTTCCATATGACTTCACTTATATTAATATAACACTGATGGATTTTGTTTTTAATGGAAACAATATACTGCAAATATTAAACTAATCTATTTTTATTTCTTCCTTAAGTCATCACCCTTTAGTTCATCTTTTACATAGACTTTTTGATCCAGGGCAAGAGGGTGAATGAATGAAGGCACGAGTAAATGAATGAGGTGACGTCTTTAGCCACAATATGTTTAAAATTAGGTTATGAACAGAAAGTGGAATTTTCTAAATTCCTTTCATACGAAAGTGACCCAGACAAGAGTTCCTTCTGTAAGTAGATAAGATGCTACTCCACATTGGACAGCTAGATCTTGAGACTGCTATCCTAAGGTAGAGGAATACGGTTATAAAGCAGGGGAAGTAATAGTCACTCCTTCTGCCCCAAGGAATTATAGGTTCCAGAGGGGAGAGAGAGTGGCAGATGGGGGTGGTCAGGCATGTGCCCCTTTTCCTCTTATAAATGGAAGCACAGAAGTTTTAGAAAGGGTATCAACATGGAGCTGGGAAGAGAAGCCAATAAGAATCTATTTCCTACGGCAATAAAATAGGATAACAGCTATATTTAATGATGCAGGCACTGTGTTAAATGCTTTATGTATATCACTGCATCAACCCTCCCAAGAACCCTATTGCTATTACTTCGTTTTAGCAGATAAGGAAATTGCATCTCAGAGAAGGCAGGTGACTGGCTCAAGTTTATATATCTAGTAAGTGACAGAACCAGGATTTGAATCCTGCTATACTCTAACTAAAGAGCCCTCACCTGTAACCATGGTGCTGTTATATTACTTTCAGTACTAACTGATGTAGAACGTGGTCGATCTGGCTGCCTAGGGTCAGCTGAATTCCTCCTCCACACTGCCCCCAAAGAAACGCATGTTTGAGACAAATCTGATTATGTCACTCCTCCACTTAAAAAACGTGGAATGGTTCCTGGTTCCCTGTCTACAGGGTAAAGTCCAAAGTCACCATGGCATACCTCAGGAGAGGAGCCACTGAACGGAACCCGGGATGAACACTTGTACAGAGAGCAGTTACTCTCTTCATTGTCTAATTTCTTCCCCATCCCCTGAGATAAGCTCATGCATTCAACCAGCTTTTGTATAACAGCACGACTTAAAAGGGCGTCTCTCTTCTCCATAGATGGATATTCACATTTAAGCAAGGCACTACAGCTCACCTCTGTGGCCAGGGCGTGTGATAAGTGCAGTTGCACAGGGTCCTGTGGTTTAACGCTCTGTAGTTGCTGTCCTGAGATCCTTAATACTTTTATCTTTGAATTTGTGTTTTGTCAGTGGTGTCTGCTGGGACTACAGAGCACACGCCCGGGGCTGGTAGCTTCGGCTCACAGGGGGTCCCGCCTTCCCACTGTCTCTTTGGGATCCATCCACTAAGCCCCAGGCTCTGGCGGGCTTCTCCCTCCCTGCCCCTGCCCCTTTGACTACAGTAGCAACCAGGCAGGGTGGCCTGAGTTCTACTCTTACACTCTGCCCCCAGGAGGGTAGAGCTGGAATCAGGCATATGTCCAGCTGTTTCCAGAGGTGGGCAAGAGCAATGCTAGTTCCTGTTCAGGGACTGAGCTCAGTCTGCAAATCCGCGGGGCCCTCGCACCCACTCTCAATCTCAGTACTGGGAAGTCACAGTCTCTTGCGGGGTCACGTGTCCACCGTGGTTTGGAACAATAAGCTCATGAAAGGGGAGACGGACTCATCTACCCAGGCTGGGTCTCTGCATCTTTTATTTTGCACTGAGTGGTACAAATTATGAAGCCTGCTCTGTCTATGGCGCTCTGATGTGTTTCGTTAAATATAGTAGAACTGTCAAGTCACAATAAAATGTGACATTAATGTTACTTCCAAGGGTGCTGAGTGCAAGACACTAACAATTTAATAAGTTTAGGCTTTTGTATTGACCTATGTTAATGTGTGATTTCATGCTATTTTGCATGGCAAGGGAAGTTTCTCAGAATTTATTTGATTGCTAGATCAATGTGAAAATGCATTACCGGCCTGCCTTGAGCATGGCCAACTGTTGACCTCTCCAATTAAGTAGACTTGAGAATGAAAATTCAATTATAATGAACAAACGTTTCTTGAACACTTTCTATGAGCCAGGCCCTATGCCAGGCCCTGTGGGGAATATGCAGATTTGTAAGATTTGTTCCTATCTTCGGAGTGCTTGCAAGCAAGTGGGAAGAGGGAGACGTACGTGTGTGGATGACTACGGTATAATACCCCGTCTTACCTTATAAGTGCAGAGGAAATGGAATCAGTAGTGCGGCTGGACTGTTTGTAGGCAGCCCCTCATAAGCAGGTGACAGTGGTTCCTTGCCTTATGTCCATTCCCCTTCTTGGGGAATGGAACCCTACTTTTTTTCAGGCTGAGTCCATCTCCAGCTCAGAGATAAATCTTGTTCAGTTTAGCCCCTCTGTAGTAATCCCATGTCTCTTGTCACTGACTGGTTTAGAGGTGGGCATGTGACTCACGTCTGGCCACGGAAGCATGAAGGCAAGTCTGTGGGTTGCTTCTGAAAAGCTCTTTTGCGGTACGGAGAGCTTTGTGGTTAAGAGCACAGACTCTGGAGTGGGCTGCCTGGTTTACAATCCTGGCACCACCACTTACCAGCTGTGTGTCATCAGGAAAATTACTTAACCTTTCTGTTTCCATTTCCTCATCTGTTCAATGGGGTTAATAATAATACATACCTACAGGGTGTAAGGATCACAATTAGTTTACGTTTGTAAAGTGCTTAGAAGAGTGCCTGGTACATAATAAGTGTTATATAAGTGATATAACCAGCATACCTTTAAGAGGCGACACCAGAAGTGACAGCCTCTTCTTATGACTCTGGACATCGGTGTGTGTAGATGTGACTCCTGTAACTTTCATGGTCTCCTTGTGCCTCTTAAGGGGGCTGACCCATGAGGGAGGATGGCAGAGCCAAAGGAGGGAAGAACCTCAGTCCTTGGTGAAAACACCAAGCCACTGAGTCACCAATCCTGGAGTCCACTCTACCTCTGGGCTTTCTGTTCTGTGATATGATAAAGTTACTGTTTATTTTCAGCCAGCGCCTCATTTTACTGGCAGTCAAAGGCACAATTTAACCTCTACAGCCACTGCCTGGTGTGTGTCCTGGAGCTCCTCAGCCTGTGCGACCTCTAAGTCCCACAGTTGTCCTGGTTGCACTTCCTGAGATGCGGGCTACCTCAGAGCAGCTCCTGACATCAGCTCCTGACCAACTTGCCATGACTCCCCAGGGCTCTGGCCTTGTCTTAATTACGATGTGATGGCTTCATGAAAGACTGAGGTCTCCGAGGTTTCCCTAAATTCAGAATCTACTCTTGATATTCACAGGGGACAGGCTGTAAGGTCACTTTCAAATTTGTAAGTAATATGGTAATGTAATTTCCCCACAAAACACAGTAAATTAACACTTAATAAGTAATTCCCTTTGATTCTTAATAATTCTATAAGATATAGGACTAGAATAAGTAGTAAAGTTACTAGAGTCCTCCATTAAAGTAAGCTCTACTCTACATCATTTGTTTAGTAACACTAAGAGCTTACTTAAATTTCTAAAAATAGGGTGAAGATGATGACAAACGATTTTTAAGGAATACCTTGGGATAGTTATTGATGACATGGAGGTGCATCCTCTGAGTTATTGACAAAAAGACCCTCCCTATCATCCACCCTTGTAGCAGGTATCTGTTATCAAATTTGTGCTTCAGCACAAATTATAAATTATAAATTCATAATATTATAGATCTTCAGGACTGTTCAAAGATTGGGAAATAATATCAATGTTTTGAATCATTGAAAGTCATGGGTTTCATCTCTTGTGTCCACATCTATAGATAGATAATGGCTTCCTAGGGCGTCAGGCTGAGAAGGACTGTGAGGTCACATCAGGCTTCGGTGGGAAAGAGTGTGGGGATTGATTATGAATGTCTGCCCCGGGTGTGGGTGGAGGCAGTGGCAGCGGCAGCAGCCATATTGTGTTTCTGTAATCCAGGGTTTACAGTTTCTTGAAAAGCAATTAGAACACTGTCAGGCCTCATAAATTGTACCAATGTTTTCTTAGGTCAGTCTCCCAAGGCAATAGAAATACAAACAAAAATAAACAAATAGACCTAATCAAACTTACAAGCTTTTGCACAGCAAAGGAAACCATAAACAAAATGAAGAGACGAGCAACCAAATGGGAGAAAATATTTGCAAATGATGTGACCAACAAGGGCTTAGTTTCCAGAATATACAAACAGCTCATATAACTCGACAGTAACAACAACAAAAACAACCCAATCAAGAAGTGGACAGAAGACCTAAATAGACATTTCTCCAAAGAAGACATACAGATGGCCAATAAGCACACGAAAAGATGTTCAACATTGCTAATTATTAGAGAAATGTAAATCAAAACTAAAAGGAGGTACCACCTCACACTGGTCAGAATGGCCATCATTAAAAAGTCTACAAATAACAAATGCTGGAGAGGGCGTGAAGAAAAGGGAACCCTCCTACACTGTTGGTGGGAATGTAAGTTGGAACAGCCACTATGGGGAACAGTATGGAGGTTCCTTAAAGAACTAAAAATAGAACTACCATATGATCCAGCAATCCCACTCCTGGGCATATATCCAGACAAAACTATAATTCATAAAGATACACGCACCCCTGTGTTCATAGCAGCACTATTCACAATAGCCAAGACATGGAAAAATCTAAATGTCCATCAATAGATGAATGGATAAAGAAGATGTGGTATTACATATATACAATGGACTACTACTCAGCCATAAAAAACAACGAAATAATGCCATTTGCAGCAACATGGATGCAACTAGAGATTATCATACTAAGTGAAGTCAGAAAGAGAAAAACAAATATCATATGAAATCGGTAATATGTGAAATCTAAAATATGACACAAATGAACCTATCTATGAAACAGAAACAGAACCATGGACATAGAGAACAGACTTGTGGTTGCCAAGGGGGAGGGGGCTGGGGGAGGGATGGAGTGGGAGGTTGGGGTCAGCAGATGTAAGCTATTATATATGGGATAGATAAACAAAAAGGTCCTACTGTATAGCACAGAGAACTACATTCAATATCCTACGATAAACCATAATGGAAAAAATATTTTTAAATGTATATATATATGTATAACTGAATCACTTTGCTGTACAGCAGAAATTAACACAACACTGTAAACCAACTATACTTCAATAAAAAAATATTGATTAAAAAAAAAGAACACTGTCAGGCCCGATTCCATTATTCTAATTACTCTTAACTTCAGGATAGATTTATTTATTTTACCAATGTACATTTATTGAGCACCTTCCATGCACTGGGTGTACTGTTAGGCATTGTGGAAAATTAAAAAGTGAATCGCTCTCTGATCCAACCCACAAAGAACCAGTTAATAGAAGAGAAAGATGTGTGTGTTTATGGTAGGAAGTGATAAAATGCTGCATGAAAGGGTTCGTTCAAGAAGGGAGACACATTAAAGGTAGGAAAGGGTACTTTTAGAGAGGCACGCTGGTGAGGGTGAGTTGCAAGGAAGCCTTGCAGTCTTGGGAGTAGGACTGTTGGAATGGATAGAAGGAGAAGGCTATTTCAAACTGAGCTGCCAGAAGGAGTGAAAGCACCGGAGTGGAAAGCTGACGGCTGTGGGTGACCGGCTGACTGATGAGAATATGTAACTGCTCTTTATCCCAGGTTCCCCCACAGAGCGAGCAGGTTGCCTCTTGGGCTTCATTAGACTGTGGTGCTGACGTGACATCCATTTTTATAAGGGTTGTTAAGCCAGGGGAAAACCCGCTCTTTAGAAAGATCATCTTTCACCACCATTTGAAGTGTGACTTACAACAAATGTCTTAACGTAAAGGAGAGGCCTCACTGGTGTCTCACACTGTACATTTTTATTGTAAACCTAAGAGGACTGACAAAGTTTCCATCTTTATTTTCTTAACTACACACAGAGTCATCAAATATTGCCAATGAGGAACATTCCTGACATCATATTATTCCATGACCTGAATAAAGCAAAAATTCTTTAACACATCGCTGAGCTAGGCACTAAATATTTACTGAAAATATTTGCAAGAACAGATTAAAATTGCAAATAGATCACCCCTCACATGCTCTAATGTCATGTCATACATACGCATACGTTATAAACATGAGGTAGGATTTTGTTCAATTTCTTTTTTAAATACTTCAAAAATTAAAGCAATGCTGTTGGCTTTACTATAAAAAAAAAAACAAAAAACAGAAAAGAAAATCATTGTTCGGCTACATGCAGAAAGCTGTTAAGGACCAGTCCAGGTAAAGAAGCACCAAGAAATAGATTTGTCAGTCAAATAAGGATGCACATTTTAAAGGTAAGGTGGAAAAAAGGAATTTAGATAAACCTAAACATCCTTGTAAAATTTAGAATGCATGTGAACATAAAGGATTAACTTGCATGTCAAGGGACTTCTCGGGCCTTCATTTACTTATGGCTTGGCTTGTCACTATCTTCTAAGCAAACCTAGAACAGAGAAGGTGATTCTATGACACTGAGTAATTAAATTCCACCAGATCCAAAGCTACAGGCAAGCCGGTTGTACGTTCACATCCCCTCCTTCCCTCCCTGCCCCCTCTTACTTCCTTCTTCCTGCTCCATGCTGTTTCCTGGAGTTTTTATGGGCAGCCTTAGATCTGTATTTACCCACTATATTTAGTGAGTTTGATTATGCATAGCCTAAATTCAGATCTGAGACGATGATCCAGATTTTTGTTCACTGAAAGACTTTTTGCTTTTTTTTATAGGTTTACAGCAAAGACTAAGCGGCTTATTTCTCTCTTTTCTTGCTATTCAATAGGCTCGTTTTGCCTCAGGGCTTTGCCCTTCCTGCTCTCCTGCAGAAGGCTCTGCGGGCATGTCTGCCCAGGCTGGTTCCTTCCTGACATTTATGTCTTCACTCTGCGGCTACCTCTTTGGAGAGGCCTAGAAGATCACCCCACGTAAAGAACACCCACCCCCGATCCCTGGCCTTGCCACTGTCCAGCACATCACTCTGTTCATTTGTTTTCTGCTATCCCTTTTTCATTCTTGTAAGTTTTTATATAACTAAAGTATTTTTATAGATACAGTAAAGTTCACCCTTTTTAGTGTCCAGGTCTGCAAGTTTTGACAAACACATAAAGACATACTGCCACGACTACAATCAAGACCTAGAAAAATTCCATCGCCCTGCACCATGTTCCCATACCCCCTTTATAGTCAACCCTCTACCAACCCCAGCTCTGATCTGTTTCCTGTATCTACAGTGTTCCCTTTGCCAGAATGTCATAGAAATGGAGTCACATAGTATGTAGCCTTTTAGGTCTGGCTTTTTTTCACTTAGCATAATGTAGTTGAGATCCAGCTGTATTTTACATGTATCAGTACTACATTTCTTCTGACTGCTGAAAATTACTCCATTGTATGAATGTTATTCATTCTCCATTTGAAAGACATTCCATCTATTTCCAATTTTTTGTGACTATAAATAAAGATACAATAAACATTCAAATACAGTTTTCATTTCACTTGTGTAAATACCCAGGAGTGGGATTGCTGGGTGATATGGTAAGTGAATTTTTAATGACAGAAGAAACTATTCAACTGTTTTCCAAAGTGGCTGTACCATTTTGTATTCCGACCAGCAATGAATGAGAGTTCCACGAATTTCTCAGCACCTGGTATTGTCAGGATTTTTATTTTAGTCATTCTAATAGGTGTGTAATGGTACGTCATTATGGTTATAATGTGCACTTTCCCTAATGACCAATGATGTTGACCATCTTTTCATGTGCTTATTTGCTATTATACCTTCTTTGATAAGGTATCTGTTCCAATCTTTTGCTCTTTAAAAAAATCATTATTTTCTTATTATTTTTCTTATTATTTTTGAGAATACTGCATCACACCTTCTTTTTATATTCTGGATACTAGTTTTTTTTCCAGATAAATGATTTCCAAATATTTTCACCCAGTTTGTGACTTATCTTTTCATTCATTTTTGATTTTGATAAAGGACAGTTTATCATTTTTTTCTTTTCATGAATTGTTTCTTGTGCCGTATCTATGAAATTACTGTCTAATCCAAGGTCACAAAAATTTTCTTCTATGCTTTACATTTTAATCTATGATCCCTTTTGAGTTAATTTTTAGAGATGGTGTGAGATATGGGAGGAAGTTTTTTTTTTTTTTTAATGGCATACTGATACCCAATCATTCCAGCACCACTTTTGAAAGACTATCACTTCTCCATTGAGTTGCCTTTGCAACTTTGTTGAAAATCGATTGACATATACGTTTCGGTCCGTTTCTGATCTCTATTTCTTTCCATTCATCTACATGCCATTCATTCATCAGTACTGCACTGCCGTGATTACTGTAGCTTTCTTGTAATTCTTGAAATCAGGTAGACATTACTCTGTTTATCTTTTTCAGAGGTTACGACTATCTGAAATTATCTTATTTATTTGCTTACTTTCCTGATGTCTTTTGGGAGACATCAAACCATGAGACCAGGGAGTTTGTACCTATCTCATTCTCTCTTATACCCCAGCACTGAGAAGAGTGCCTGGCACACAATAATTACTTAATAAACTGGTTGAAAAAAAGCATAAAGGAAACCAATATTTAACTTGAGGAAATCAAGGGAACTTAGTATTTTGGGGGAAGAAGGGTCAAATTGTTTTGTGAGAAGCCATGAGTAGAACAGAGGCTTGGCTTGTGGTGTGAGCATGGAAGATGAAATGCTCTTTGGGCCATGGCATCTTGGTCACAGTTCTATTAGGAGCCATCAGGAGCTCCAAGGGGCCACATTCATTCACTCATTCATCAAGTCTTTATCTAGCACCTAATGTGCTACATACTGCATTACACTGCATTATAAACGGCAGTAGGCAAAATCTTGTGTTCAAGGTATGTGGCGTTGCAGACAAATAATAATTGAGACAGAGTCACCCAGGTACCCTAAAAGTGGTTATTTGCACAGGGCTCTTTGAGTGATGTGCAAGGGGCATCTCAGCCAGCCTCGGGCTTGGGAGGCTTCTCAGAAGTGAGCAAACTTGATTAAGGTCTCAAGTTTCAACAGGAAACTTTGGGTCCTTAGTGGGACCCAGCTTTCCTTAGTGGGACTTGGCAACAGTACCTCAGAGCTCTCTCTCCTGGTGCTCTGAAGCAGCTTCAGCTGTTTCTGGGTTTGGGGCACCCGTGGTGGTGGTTTTATGGATTTAACGCTCTCTTGGTGACCTCTACTTCTCCTGCGTGTCACTTACTGCAGTAATGATGATATAATTAATTATGCAGATAGCTATTTAATGCCCACTTCCCTCCCACTACAATGAGAGCTTCATGGAGGCAGGGGCTGCACCTGCCCTGGTCACAGCCGCATTTCCACAGCCCAGCACAGTGAGTGGCCCAGCCAGGTCCTGGGACAGACTGTGTGGGACCCTAATGATGAAGGACTAATCTCACAGTTCTTGGAAGATCTACTAGGTTACCGGAGAACTCTCCCTCCCTGATAGAGTAATTTTGTGCCTTTGCTCACTTTTAGGAACAGCTGTTAGCTCTTCTTTTATTTTCAAATTACTTTAAAATAATTAATAGTCAAAATAAAAGTCCCCCCGACACTGCCCAAGGAGAAAGAGAAACTTTCACATTATGTGTAATGGTGGATGCTCATGTGTTCAGCAATTAATTTGTTGATCTTGACATGTTTTTAGCCTGTCACTGGTGGCCAGACGGTACTGGGGATCTGCCAAAACCCCAAAACGAATCTTTTGCTTTTGTGTGTCAGTAGGGCCTACTGTGCCCTAAAAATGGGCGGAATAAAAAACAAATGGAGAGAAAGTTATTCTGAGGCTGTATTACCAATTGTACCTCTGAGTAATGCCATTTATTTTAATTCTCCCAAATACACACATACAACACACACACACACACACACACACACACACACTCACTCTCTCTCCCCCCCCCCCCTTGGGCTGCTGCTTCTCGGTTGCTGCAATAGCAAACTGGAGTTGCATGTGGGGGAGGAGGGGAAGGGTATTAACACTGTTGGACATCTAACTAAGCACCTACTATATACCAAGTACTCGTCAAAAATTCTGTCAGTTAGCCCACATCTCCATTGAGGATACCGAGGCCTAGACATCAGGAAGGGATGGTGAAGAAATATACTCAAGGTCTGTGATCCCCAGGGAAGTTACATTTTCAAGCACCTCATTTGCTTAATTAAATACATGAATCAGACTTGCTGCTGAGTGAGGGAAAAGCGGAAAAGGAAAGGTATATGCCCCTTGCTCCACTGTCCATCTGTTTGACAGGACTGTAGCCATCTTAGGCATCAGCAGACCTTTGACACTCTCACTTTGACCTGTGGCTACTGTGTTTATGTCTTCGTGCGAAGCAGGGGCTGGCCAAGGCCTGGGCCCTCTCTCCGTGGTTTTCTGGTTCAAACCTTGGTCTTGTGCGATGAAGTGGAAGGGGGACTCAGAGTTACTAGCTTATGTGGTTCTTTCATTCAAAAGTGGGTTTTCTGAAACCCTACAAGAATTCATTTGCTTTTCCAAAACCCAAATGATTCTGTTTGGAATGAACTACAAATCCACATCTATTTACTCAGAGAGAGAGCTGGTGAGCCGAGAACAGGAAGAAAAGAAAGTGGCATTTATTGAGCACCAGTTATGTGAACTACTACGTACTTGGACATGTTATAGATCCTTGCAATCGCCTGGTGAGGTATGCTGTTTATCCCGTCTTACAGATGAGAAAACTGAGGGCTAGGCAGGTTCAATAGTACTGGTGAGTAGTCAGCCTGTTCTCTCCAAGCCCAAAACCTGTGCTCTTTCCTTAACATGGTAGGAGTGTGCAAAGGGATGGGAGCGAGGACTTCTCTCTTCCCTCGGAATTCGAGACAGATCCATATCCCTAACTGGCAATAGGTTTCAAAGAGTCACACCGTGTGTGACAGCCTACATACGACATATACAATTACAGCCTTGCCTCCCCTGCTTCAAGGTCAACATTTCATTCTCCCATCTTGGCCAAAGAATTCTTGGTGTGGTTTCCTGAGTTTCCTCTTTTCTTTAAGCTTTTTAATACTATACAGACATGATGCCTTGAATTAAAGCCTTGGGGAGACATTAAAATATGAGAGAAAAGTCACTTTCTATTAAGAAAGTCAAGAGTGACAGTGTCCCGTGGTTTTGTGGGGCTGATTTCATGAGTGGATATTTAATTGGCTCATACTGAATAGTTATGCAAATGGGGAGATTTTCCACAAACATTTGTTGTATCCAACCCACTGTGGCAAGTTCTTCGTATCAGACAAAATCTGATGGCCAGAGACAAAATCTCTGGCACAGCTGCCAAAGAAAATTATGTCCTGACTTACATGCTCTCAAAAAACATCTAAAAAAATTTACTTTAAATGGACTCGTGTTTTAGGTGCATTGGAATAACTGCTACGTAAAATCATCCCAGAGTGAATGAAGGGCAAAGAAGATCATCTTTAAACTCTACATTTTGCAGATGAGAAAACTGAATGCCAGAAGGAAAGTGACTTTACCTGAGGTCACACAGCTGTAAGGAGGATTCACTTTGTAGGACTCTCCTGTGCTGTATGAGGATCAGACTGTTCTATATAGATTTCTATTTAATGGAACATAAAACACTCAACTCCATATAGGGATCCAAGTCTCCTTAGAGAAGAATAGATGCTTTTTCTCCTCTTAGGAAAGATGGAATTATTCTAAACCTCTTTACCTAGTCATATGGTCAATTGAGATCCTATATACATAGGTGTGAAATGGATGAGGGCAGTTCTTACCTAAAGAAAGGATTCTTTAAATCGAGGGTGTTCCCAGACCTCAAGCCTGTCTGGTTTACCAGCGCCACGATCTGAATGTCATAGCTCTGTCTGTAAGGCGGAAAAAGAAAACCAACATATCAACTCACAAGGCTGGTGTTAGCCAGTCACATATATTTAGGGCACATTCTTTTTTCCATTTTTTCTACTTTTTTGAGTGCACCATGTGGCATGTGGGATCCTAGTTTGCTGACCAGGGATTAAACCCATGCCCCCTGCAGTGGAAGCATGGAGTCTTAACCACTGGACCACCAGGGAAGTCCTGGGCATCACCTACGCATACCTACTTCACGCGGGTTTTAAGAGCATGTGTTTGGCATCTTATACGTTTCTGTATCTGTTTATTTGGATATGATTAATATTGGTAGAGGTAATTGAAGGCTTGTTTGCTTGCAAACTGTTTATTACAAGAGTCTCATAGCTATAATTTCTTGGTTTAAATATTACAAAGGTAATGGTATTTCTGGTTGATTAAAGTATTAAAAAAAAAGCTTTATTAATATCAATGGCAGAAATGGCTTTAAGTAACAGAGACCCTTTATGGGTCACCACTGATGTACCAAAACAATCTTAATCATGCGAGAATTGGCTAAGCTAAAACCTCAAACTGATGTAAAACAGCCAACAAATGTGATTGATTTTTAAGAGACCCCAGACGAAGCCTCAAGCAATTACAGTGAGAAGAAGCTGCTAATAATAACAGGTAATATGCTATATCCTTGATGACTAATCTGAAGGGGCTATGTTTGTGGGATTTTTATTAGTCATTCTCAAGAACATATGTATTTCTTTTGGTTATAAAAGGGTGACATGCTCACTGTAGAAAAATAAGGAAAAATAGAAATAGAATAATCCATAATGTCATTAGACAAGGATTCCTTCAACTAGCATTGTAGAATATTTCCCTTCTATGTAATTTTCCCTACATTTATAAATATAAAATTTTAGCAAAATCATGCTTAAATTGCTTAAATAGTCCTTCTTATCTCCTTATTTTATTTAACGTTAGCATTTACCCTATAATTCTCAACAATGTATTTGTCAATACCATTATGTGGGTATAGCACAATTCATTTAGCAATTTCTGATTGTTAAATATTTATGTTTTTATAATAATATATTGTTACTTATGGTAACAAAAATCTGGTTTTATGACAGAAATTCTCTGCAAAAGACATTCCTGTAATACATCTTTACGTACTATCTGGGATTATCTTGCTTGGGATAAATTCTTAGAGGTAGACTCACCAGGCTAAAGCTTATAAAACATATTTAAGGCTCTCAAGACCTGCTGCTAAAATATCTTCCAGAAAGTGTACCAAACTACCTCCTCACCTACAAAGCATAAAACTACTAATTTCATTATACTTTTTCCAATTCTTAATATTTAAATGTTTGGGATTAAAATATTATTATTTTAATTTGAATTTCCTTGAAAACTAGGCTTCTTTTTTAAATTCCAGAAATTAGTGAGTGATATAAATCCCTCCCTATCATTCCCAATAGTGGCCTGGGTAGGTTTAAATATAAGGTCAGATTCTGTGAAACCGAACAGAATAAGAGGAAGACATAGTCATATATATATTTTTAAGCACTCATTTCTGTGGGCTTTTTTATATTTTTAAACATCTTACTTGGAGTATAATTGCTTTACAATGTTGTGTTAGTTTCTGTTGTATTACAAAGTGAATCAGCTATATGCATACGTATATCCCCATATCCCCTCCCTCTTGCATCTCCCTCCCACCCTCCCTATCCCACCCCTTTAGGTGGACACAAAGCACTGAGCTGATCTCCCAGTGCTATGTGGCTTCTTCCCACTAGCTATCTATTTTACATTTGGTAGTGTATATATGTCCATCCCACTCTCTCACTTCGTCCCAGCTTACCCTTCCCCCTCGCCATGTCCTCAAGTCCATTCTCTAGGTCTGCGTCTTTATTCCTGTAGAGTCCCTAGATTCATCAGATTTATTTTTTAGATACCATATGTATGTGTTAGCATATGGTATTGGTTTTTCTCTTTCTGACTTACTTCACTCTGTATGACAATCTCTAGGTCCATCTACGTCACTACAAATAACTCAATATCATTTTTTTATGACTGAGTAATATTCCATTGTACATATGTGCCATATCTTCTTTATCCATTCACTGTCGATGGACACTTAGGTTGCTTCCATGTCCTGGCTACTGTAAATAGTGCTGCAATGAACATTGTGGTACATGACTCTCTTTGAATTATGGTTTTCTCTGGGTATAAGGTCAACAGTGGGACTGCTGGGTCATATGGTAGTTCTACTTTTAGTTTTTAAAGTAACCTTCATAATGTTCTTCAGAGTGGCTATATGAATTTACATTCCCACCAACAGTGCAAGAGGATTCTGTTTTCTCCACACCCTCTCCAGCATTTATTGTTTGTAGATTGTTGGGTGATTCCATTCTGACGGGTGTGAGGTGATACCTCATTGTAGTTTTGATTTGCATTTCTCTAATGATTAGTGATGTTGAGCATCTTTTCATGTGTTTGTTGGCAATCTGTATATCTTCTTTGGAGGAATGTCTGTTTAGGTCTTCTGCCCATTTTTTGGATGGTTTGTTTTTTTGATATGGAGCTGCATGAGCTGCTTGTATATTTTGGAGATTAATCCTTTGTCAGCTGCTTCATTTGCAAATATTTTCTCCCATTCTGAGGGTTGACTTTTCATCTTGTTTATGGATTCCTTTGCTGTGCAAAAGCTTTTAAGTTTGATTAGGTCTCACTTGTTTACTTTTGTTTCTATTTCCATTACTGTAGGAGATGGGTCAAAAAGGATCTTGCTGTGATATATGTCATACAGTGTTCTGGCTATGTTTTCCTATGAGTTTTATAGTGTCTGGCCTTACATTTAGGTCTTTAATCCTTTTTGAGGTTATTTTTCTATATGGTGTTAGGAAGTGTTCTAATTTCATTCTTTTACATGTAGCTGTCCAGTTTTCCCAGCACCACTTATTGAAGAGGCTGTCTTTTCTCCATTGTGTATTCTTGCCTCCTTTATCAAAGATAAGGTGACCATATGCGTGTAGGTTTATCTCTGGGCTTTCTATCCTGTTCCATTGATCTATATTTCTGTTTTTGTGTCAGTACCATACTGTCTTGAATACTGTAGCTTTGTTGTATAGTCTGAAGGCCAGGAGCCTGATTCCTCCAGCTCCGTTTTTCTTTCTCAAGATTGCTTTGGCTATTCAGGGTTTTTTGTGTTTCCATATAAGTTGTGAAATATTTTGTTCTAGTTCTGTGAAAAATGACATTGGTAGTTTGATAGGGATTGCACTGAATCTGTAGATTGCTTTGTTTAGTAATTTTCACAATGTTGATTGTTCCAATCCAAGAACATGGTATCTCTCTCCATCTGTTTGTATCATCCTTAATTTCTTTCATCGGTGTCTTATACTTTTCTGCATACAAGTCTTTTGTCTCCTTAGGTAGGTTTATTCCTAGGTATTTTATTCTTTTTATTTCAATGGTGAATGGGAGTGTTTCCTTAATTTCTTTTTCAGATTTTTTCATCATTAGTGTATAGGAATGCAAGAGATTTCTGTGCATTTATTTTGTATCCCACTACTCTACCATATTCATTAATTAGGTCTAGTAGTTTTCTGGTAGCATCTTTAGGATTCCCTATGTATAGTATCATGTCATCTGCAAACAGTGACACTTTTATTTCTTCTTTTCCAATTTTGATTCCTTTTATTTCTTTTCCTTGTCTGATCGCTGTGGCTAAAACTTCCATAACTATGTTGAATAACAGTGGTGAGAGTGGGCAACCTTGTCTTGTTCCTGATCTTAGAGGAAATGGTTTCAGTATTTCACCATTGAGAACGATGTTGGCTATGGGTTTGTCATATATGGCTTTTATTATGTTGAGGTAGGTTCCCTCTATGCCTACTTTCTGGAGAGTTTTTGTCATAAACAGGTGTTGAATTTTGTGAAAAGCTTTTTCTGCATCTATTGAGATGATCATATGGTATTTATCCTTGAAGTCATTAATATGGTGTATCACACTGATTGATTTGCATATTGTGAAGAATCCTTGCATTCCTGGGATAAACCCCACTTGATCACGGTGTATAATCCTTTTAACGTGCGGCTGGATTCTGTTTGCTAGTATTTTGGTGAGGATTTATGTATCTATGTTCATCAGTGATACTGGCCTGTAGTTTTCTTTTTTTGTGACATCTTTATCTGTCTTTGGCATCAGGGTGATGGTAACTTTGTAGAATGAGTTGGAGAGTGTTCCTTCCTCTGCTATATTTTGGAAGAGTTTGAGAGGATAGATGTTACCTCTTCTCTAAATGTCTGACAGATTTTGCCTGCGAAGACATCTGGTCCTGGGCTTTTGTTTGTTGGAAGATTTTTAATCACAGTTTCAGTTTCAATGCTTGTGATTGGTCTGTTTATATTTTCTCTTTCTTCCTGGATCAGTCTCATAAGGTTGTGCTTTTCTAAGAATTTGTCCATTTCTTCCAGGTTGTCCATTTTATTGGCATAGGGTTGCTTGTAGTAATCTCTCATGATTCTCTATTATTTCTGCAGTGTCAGTTGTTACTTCTCTTTTTTCATTTCTAATTCTGTTGAGTTGAGTTTTCTACCTTTTTTTCTTGATGAATCTGGCTAATGGTTTATCAGGTTATTTTATCTTCTCAAAGAAACAGCTTTTAGTTTTATTGATCTTTGCTATTGTTTCCTCCATTTCTTTTTCATTTAATCTGATCCGATCTTTATGATTTCTTTCCTTCTGCTAACTTTGTGGGGGTTTTTTTGTTCTACTTTCACTAATTGCTTTAGGTGTAAGGTTAGGTTGTTTGTTTGAGATGTTTCTCGTTTCTTAAGGTAGGATCGTATTGCTATAAACTTCCCTCTTAGAACTGCTTTTGCTGCATCCCATAGTTTAGGGTTGTCGTGTTTTCACTGTCATTTGTTTCTAGGTATTTTTTGATATCCTCTTTGATTTCTTCAGTGATCTCTCAGTTATTTAGTAGCGTATTGTTTAGCCTCCATGTGTTTGTATTTT